CTGATTCTCCCTCAGCTCTGTCACGCCTGAAATCGTCAGGTGGTGATTTGCTTTGTGGCAGTACATTGACCATTTAATAGCAACTAACAGTTTAGAGTGTTACAGATAATTGTTGGATATTATGTTGGTTACATCTCATTTGCTGTGAGAAAGTACCCTAGCAAATCAACCTAAAGGAGGAAAGGAGTGTTTGAGCCCATGTTTTCGGTCTATGGTTGCTTAGCTCAGTTGCTCTAAGTCTACTAAACTTGAATGTTATAGAAGAAATGCTTGTTCAGGCAAAGCTGAAGAAAATCTCCTCCAAACCCATAAATCCAAATCCACAATGCATGGGCTACCCATGAGGTAGAGCCCTCAAGATCCTGTGACCTCCCAAAGGCCCTGGATTCTGTTTGCAGGGGGCACTGACCCTTTAACAAATGAGTTTTAGGGGGACACCAAAGAGCATTGTTTTCTTTCCAAACCTGCTGGGTTTCCTGGTAGGAGTACAGTAATAAGAAGTCTTGCCTCGGGCCTGGGAGCTCAGCAGAGGAGCTAGGATGTGGCTCAGTTGGCAGAGTGTCGGCCTAGCATGCACGAAGCCCCGGCTGGCGGCACCACCTAAGCCAGGTGGGTGTGATGATGCACAGCTGTGATTCCAGTGCTCAGCTGGCGGAAGCAGGAGGATCAGAAGTGTATTGTTTTCTTTGAGTTTGAGGCCAGCTAGAAATACATGAGATCCTGTCAAGAGAACGTGGGGCACATACACACACATACACAGGCACACATACACATATACGTCTGTCACATTGAAGGGGACATTCATATGTGGGGGAGGATCTACAGATGTGTGACTGTAGAGCAGCTGGCCCTGGGGACTGGTCACTGGGGTAGCAGTTAGGTCTGCTCAGGTGGTGTTGTGGTGGGGGGCTGATGGAAGACAGGGGAACACGTGAATTTAAATTAATATTAGTTTTGTTACTTAGTCTCTAGATGTGTAGAGTATAAAATTAAGTTTTCATGGGTTCTGAAAATGACTCCATTTTTTAAAAGCCTGGAGTGACATAGTTCATATTTAAGCTGGTCATTTTTCTCTCCTCTCAGTCATCTCTGTCCTACCACCTGTTCAGAGAACATGGCACAGTTTAAAATGGATCCCCTCTTGTTGGAAAAACATGCAACAGTATAGTTATTTTTAAGTAGATCGTAAAAAGAGCAATGGTGAAAAGTTTGCAGTGGCCTTTGCCCTAGGAGCTCAGCTCCCTCATCCTGCAGTGTCTTAAAACACAGCACAGCCAGGCCTTGTTTGGATATTAAGATGAGAGAAATCCACCCTAGCTAAGCATGTCTTTAATAGCCTTCTGTGTATCAGTCCAGGTCAGAGAAACAGCACAGGGAGTTGAACAAGAAAGTTTTGGAGGGTGTTTTTTTGTTGTTGTTGTTTTGTCTTTAAGGTTTACTTACTTTTATTTTATATATAAGTATCTATTTATATTTGAGTGCCTTGCTTTCATGGATGTATGTGAATAGTGCTTGTGTACCTTGTACCCAGAGACCAGAAGGATATCGGTTCCCCTGAAGTAGAAATTAATAGCTTTCTCTGCCGATATCGCACCCACCAACATGGTGAACGTTCCTAAGACCCGCCAGACATTCTGCAAGAAATGTGGCAAGCACCAACCCCACAAAGTGACCCAGTACAAGAAGGGCAAAGATTCTTTGTATGCCCAGGGAAAGCGGCGTTATGATAGGAAACAGAGTGGCTATGGTGGGCAGACTAAGCCTAGTTTCCGCAAAAAGGTGAAAACTACAAAGAAGATTGTGCTGAGACTGGAATGTGTGGAGCCCAACTGCAGATCTAAGAGGATGCTGGCTATTAAGAGATGCAAGCATTTTGAACTGGGAGATCATAAGAAGAGAAAGGGCCAAGTGATCCAGTTCTAAGCTGATCTTGTTATGAAGAGAATAAAATCATGAGCTTTCACTAAAAAAAAATAAGAAATTAATAGATTAGATTGTTCTGAGCAGCCATGTGGGTGCTGGGAACTAAACCCAGGTCTTTTGCAAGAGCATTATATGCTCTGGGGTTTTTTGTTTTGTTTTGTTTTGTTTGGGATTTTTTTATGTTTGTTTTTTGAGACAGGATTTCTCTGTGTATTCTTGGCTGTCCTGAAACTCACTCTATAGACCAGGCTAAACTTAAACTCAGGTATGCCTGCCTCTGACTGCCAAGTGTTGGGATTAAAGGCATGCCCCTCTGGGCAATGGTGGCGCACGCCTTTAATCCCAGCATTCAGGAGGCAGAGGCAGGTGGATCTCTGTGAGTTTGAGGGCAGCCTGGTCTACAGTGCAAGTTCCAGGACTGGCTTTGTAGCTACTGAGAAATCCTGTCTCCAAAAGCAAAAACAAACAAACAAAAGGCATGCCTCACCACTACCAGGTTCATAGTCTCTGGGCTTTACTCATTTTTGGGAGGGGTGGAATGGGTGAGTGGTGTGCCCCAGCACCTGTGGAGATTAGAGAACAATTTGCAGAAGTCATTGCTGTGTCCACCAGATGTCAGACTCCTTTATTTGCTGAGCTTTCTCCCTGGTTCTGAAAAAAGAGTTTGTAACAGGAGATTGGGGTAGCCCTGGGTTGGCTAGTCGAAAAGGAAACCTTAAAATACAGGAGTAACAGATGTAAGCAGCAGCCACAGCCCCTGGGCTGACCTTGCGCAAGACATGCCTGTGGCTCACTGCAAGGCCTGAAAGCCACACAGGTGCAACTGGGTGAAAATTGGTTTTGTAAGGTGTCTGAGAAAGCTGATCTAGGGAAGTGACTGACGGTGGAGCCTGGATAGCCTGGCAGAGCAGGAACCAGAGGCCAGGAAAGGCCTGCATTGTGGGGACTCCCCAGTGACACCCCAGAACCAGGAAGCACAGCTCTCTTGTCCTGCAGTCTTGTTTCTACTTTTGTCTAGTTGATTTGTTTCCACCGGCTTGTTCTGAAAAGCTCACCATTACTCCAGGGGAAGAAGAAAACGGCTTTAAGAGACTCAGGCCCACTTTCACAGAGGGGGAATTGGAAACGGAGTGGCAATGTCACCAGCACGGTGACTCAGACAGATGTCAGTAGCCATGACATCCCAGGTGAAAGGTTGCTAGGAGACATGCTTGCGCGTGTGCATTTGGGAGGCTTGGTATTTTCCGTACCATCTTTTTTCTGAAGATTTGCCTGAGGCTTCATTTTTAGTACCAGGCGTACAGATAGACCCTATGGCGCCACGAGTGGAGGCCCAGTTAGTCCTTAGCTCAGACTTAGAGTCAGTAAGTAGTCAGGAATTTCAATGCCAGAGAAAACAGTGTTTATGCCTGCTTTATGGGTACTTGGGGGTATACCATCCATCTTCCTGAAGATCTGCAGGGGCCTCCTGTCCTGGTAGCCGGCTGTGATCCAGGGGTTGCTCGTCACCGTCAGCCTTTGCTTCCTTCCCTCTCCTGGGCTGTGTGGCACCACCACCCGCGCAGTGACAGAATCATGTCTGCGTTGTGTGCAGTGTCTTCTTTCTGGGCCGACTTCTGTGGTTGGCTGGAATACATTTCCCAACCACATTCTCAGAAAGGTTGGTAAGCTGTTTGGTGACTCTGTGTGCCTGAAAAATGCCTGTATTCTATCCTGCAGTTTCGTTTTGAGACAAGGGTTTCACTGTGTAGCGTTTCCCTGGCTATCTGGAACTCGCTCTTGTAGACCAGGCTGGCCTCGAACTCACAGAGATCCGCCTGCCTCTGCCTCCTGAGCGCTGGGATTAAAGGCGTGCGCCACCACCGCCCGGCTTCTATCCTGGATTTAAAAAAAAAATCTCTTTTGGGTTGTTTATTTTTTTGTTGTTTTATTGTTGTTTTTTTCTTTTGTTTTCTTGTTTGTATGTTTTCACACAAGGTCTCACTATGTTACCCAACTTAGAACTTACAAAGATACACCTGCCCCTGACTCTCAGCTGCTGGGATTTGAAGTTTGTGCTGCCACACCTGGATTTTCCTCATGTTTAGACAGTTTGTTGGTTGTCAAAAATCTTAGTTGGAAATGTTTTCCCGTCAGAATCTTGACTCTTTCTCCCTGGTATTACATCTTCCTATTTGTGAAGTAGGAAGCCACTCTGATCTTCACTCCTTCCTTTGTGGCCTGTCTTCCTTCTAAGAGCTTCTAGGACTCCATTCCTGTTTCCAGCATCCTTAGGCAGCATGCCGATACAGCTTGGTCTGTCTTTCTCTACTCATGAGTACTTACTACTAGGTATTATTTTATTTGTCTTGGAGATAAACCTATTCTTAAATGTTCAACATTCTGGGGTAATCTTCTAATTTTCTTAACGTAGCTCTCCTTTTTTTCTAACTTTTTCTGTCTTTTTCTTTTTTTTTTTTTTGAGATTTGATTACTTTTATGTATATATGTGTTTTCCTGAATGTGTGTCTGTGTGTCACATGAATGCGGTACCCACCGAGACCAGAAGAGGGTTCACTCACGTGGGACTGGAGTTACAGATTGTTATGAGCCACCACGTGGATGCTGGGAATCAAACCTGGTGCTCTGGAAGGGCGGCCAGTGCTCCTAACCACAGAGCCACCACACCTTCTTCTTCTTTTTTTTTTTTTTTTTTTAAATTAAAGACAAGGTCTCATTGTGTATCGCTGGCTTTCTGCTCTTGCAGAAGACCTCAGTTTCTGGCACCCACATCAGTTGTCTCGGAACTACCCGTAACTCCAGGATGATCCGATGCCTCTGGCCTCCGTGAGCGCCTGTACTCGTGTGGGCACACATGCACATAATTAAGAGTAAACCCCGGAACAGACTAAGTAACCTGCGCATACTCGGGCCAGTGTTTTTTAAATAAAGCTATGTATGTTGATCTAAAGCTAAACTCCGTAAGTGGAGGTATTCTTGCTGCTCAGTCCAATGTTATGGTATAGTGTTTAGTACATAAACATTTCCAGCTGTTTCTGTTGGTTCATAGGAATTTTACGTTGTTTTCCCTTTCTTAGGACAAAGTTAAACTATAATCCTCCCAAAGATGACGGCTCCACTTACAAGATTGAACTTGAAGGGATATCGGTAATGGTTATGAGAGAGATCCTGGATTACATCTTCAGTGGGCAGGTATGGTGGGACCCAGGGCCCAGGCCCAGCAGCGGCTTCCCAGCTCTCAGAGTGGTACTTGCACATCATCTTCTTCCATCGGGGGCGTCTGTTGGCATCTTCCAGGCTCTGTCCCTGCCCCAGTTTCTGCTCTTCTGAGGGCCACCCTCCAGGCTGAGATTCGAAGAACATGTGTGCCCCTCAGCGCTGACTCCTGCCACCACATCTTGAGTCTGATCTTGCCCAACATCCACCCTGTCAGGACCTTCTCTGTCTGCGTGGAAACGGGCTTCTCTGGGCACTGTGACTTATTCTGTAGAAACGGAGTTTCCTGTGGGTCATTGCCATGAAAGGCGCCTCCCAGTGAAAGCCGCCCTTATGGTCTTCGCTGGTGGCTGCGTTTCACCCCACCCCTGCCCTGGCTCCCTGCATTCCCTCTACTCTTTGTGCCACCTGGCTTCGGAGATGTGATAACACGCAGGCAAGGAATGGTCAGCACCTAGATTGCTTTCTTCTTGCTTTCCCGACCCCGTCCTCTTTCTGTAACTTAAGTTCTACCATAGACCTCTTTCAGCCTTAGCAGGGCTACAGAGAAACCTCGGAGCTCACGGCTCTTCCAGTCCCAGCACCTGCAGCAGATGGCTCACAGCCACCTGGAACTCCAGGTCCAGATCTTCTGGCCTCCGTGCACAAACACACATACACCCCCCACCCACCCCCACACACAAATAAGTAAATAAAGATAAATCAAAAAAAAAAAGCACACTTTTAATCCCGGCATTCGGGAGACAGAGGCAGGCAGATCTCTGAGTTTGAGGCCAGCCTGGTCTACAGTGCGAGTTCCAGGACAGGCCCCAAAACTATAGAGAAACCCTGTCTCCAAAACAAAGAAACAAAGATTCCTTGGTATTTTGGCCAGGGTAGTGTGTTGTCCATTTCTGTGTGTGAAAGTGTGCTTCCCCATTTCTCAAGGTCTTTCTCACATCTTGCCCTCTCCATGACCCCTCCTCCGTCGCTGCTGTTTCCCCACTTCCCCTTTTCGGGGGGGGGGGTCTGTTTTCCCAGTCGTTTTCTAAGCATTCTGCATGTCTTTTCTAAATGTGTTTGTTCTGCCCACAGAGTCAGGGATTCTAGTCCCCGACTAGAAGCGTGTGGTATGATTTTGTAGCATTGGGGAAACAGTTCAGAGAAACTTCCTAAACAGAAGGCAGTGGGTGCGCATGTGTTTGAAGATGGAAATGAGCGAAGCTCAGATCCCGGAAGCGTCCTGCAGCGGTGGGGACTCAGGCGTCTGCCCAGCCAGGGCTGACTTGAGTTACGAGCACGGCAGGTGCTGGGCCACCTAGGGCGTGCTCTGTGCAGGCTGCAGGCTCCAGCTGCCATCCGGGGCTGTCTGCAGGTTGGCTGCCAGCATTCATCCCAGTTTAAACCTTAGGATCCAGGTGGCAACTTAAGCTATGACAAACTTCTAAATTAGCTGTTTGGTTTAATTGAGATGTATTTAGTGTTCTTCATGGGTTTGTATCTGAGGTTATTCCCCGTCTTCTGGTTGAATTTAATATTCTTGGGGCTGGGGATGTGGCTGAGTGGTAGAGCTCTTGCCTGGAATGCATGAGGCCCTGGGTTCCATCCCAAGCAGTGCCAAAAAAAAAAAAAAAAAAATAGAAATGGGAGGAAGGTTGGAGAGATGTCTTGGTGGATAAAAGCTCTGCTGCCAAACCTGATCACCATCACCTGGTTCATTCTGAAGGACCTACAAGGTAAAAAGAGACCATGGGTTCCTGAAAGGTCCTCTGACCTCTGCGGGTGTCCTGGTTCGCATGCGCCCACACAGAGATCTAAAGTGCACGCGCACTGTCTTAGTCAGGGTTGCTATTGCCGTGATGAACACCATGACTAAGCAGCAGGGGAGGAAAGGGCTTATTCGCCTCACACTGCCACAGCCCAGTTCATCACTGAAGGAACTGAAACAGGGCAGGGTCCTGGAGGCCAGAGGTGGTGCAGAGGCCATAGAGAGGTGCTGTTTGCTAGCTTCCTTTCTATGGCTCGCTCAGCCTGCTTTCTTACAAAACCCAGGGCCACCAGCCCAGGGGTAGCCCACCTCCCACATCAGTCACTAGTTAAGAAAAGGCCCTACAGGCTCGCCTATAGCCTGATCCTATGGAAGCGTTCCCTCATTTAGGCTCCCTCCTCTCTGATGACTCTGGCTTGTGTCAAGTTGACTTAAAACCAGCCAGAGCACGCACAAACAAACAAAACCAAAACAACAACAAAGATAAAAGAAGAATAAAAAATTAGTGATATCCCCAGTTAGAATGTCCTCACTTAGAATATTACTTCCTGCAGTGGTGCTCAGTTTCTGAGGCAATTGGTAAGAACACGTTTTTAAATTATAGCACGAAAATGCATAGGATGTGGTTAAAGGTTTCTTGCTGGACCCTGAACTCTCTCATTCCTGAAGCAGCAAAGCCTGGGGGAGCTCAGTTGTGGTACGGCATTTTATGGTTGCATTGGGAAGCGTGAGACAGGGAGAAAGAAGCATCGGTCAGAACACTGGAGAAAACTAAAGGCTCAGAGGGAGGGTAACCAGTACAGTGGGGACTGATTGCAGATGGAAGTTTGAGGCCCACGTGCTTCGGTGTTGAGTGCAGGCTGCCTAGGACATACAAAGCCCCCCACTTTGAGGCTTGCACCCACTTGGCAGACAGAAACCTTGATGAATCTGGAGATAACTCCAATTTTCACTAATTTCCACTGTTCCTAAATGCTCAGCCAAGTTGTTATGTGAGTTGCAACTCTGAGCTCCCTCAACAGGAGGAGGGTGGATCATGCAGGCACAGGAGGGGAAGGCCTGGACAGGTGAACAGGCTAAAAGTCAGACACTTCTGCTGTGAGAGAAGGCCCTTGGATGCCTCGAGGAGAAATGATGTAGTTGTTAAGAGCGCTTCCTACTCTTGCAGAGGACCTGAGTTCAGTTCCTGGCATCTCACAACTGCCTATAACTCCAGCTCCAGTGGGATCCACACTCATCTGCACATACACATAATTAAAAATAAACCTTTAAAGATAAGAGAAAAAATTGGGAATTTCCTGTGAACTAGAACTAAGTTGGTGGTTTGGGTTTTATGTCTGCATTCAGATATAAAGTCTTTATGGTCCTCTTACAGATCAGGCTAAATGAAGATACAATCCAAGATGTTGTACAGGCAGCCGACCTGCTGCTGCTGACGGACCTGAAAACCTTGTGCTGTGAGTTTCTGGAGGGCTGCATTGCTGCGGAGAACTGCATCGGCATCCGCGACTTCGCGCTGCACTATTGCCTGCACCATGTGCATTACCTGGCCACGGAGTACCTGGAGACTCACTTCCGAGATGTCAGCAACACAGAGGAGTTCCTGGAGCTGAGTCCGCAGAAGCTCAAAGAAGTGATCTCTCTTGAGAAGCTGAACGTTGGCAATGAAAAATACGTGTTTGAGGCGGTGATTCGGTGGATAGCGCACGACACAGAGATGAGAAAGGTGCCTGCCACTCGGGACATGGCCGCGCGGTCCCTTTGCATCAATGTGTTTATTTTGTGTGATGGGAGGGATGCATGTGAGGGCAGAGGCCAGCCATGATGGTGTCCCGGAGGAACACTGTCCAGCTCTTTGAGGGTCTCTCATTAACTTGAAACTCATCTATTAGGATGGACTGGCTAGCCAGCAAGCCCCAGAGATCCTCCTCCTGCCTCTGCCTCCCCAGCCTTGGATCCAGCCATGCTGCACATCCCCGTGCCCAGCATTTTGACATGGGTCTGGAGATCAGGCTCAGGTCAACACACTCGGAGGGCGAGCCCTTTTGAGTCAGCCCTTTGTTTATTGTTAACACAAATGGTAGTAGTTTTGTCTTCTCCATCTTGGAAGACTCAACCAAGCTGTGACGAAAGGATCTCTGGGAAACATCTTCCATCTATTGCTGAAGCTGTCAGTCTCTCAGGCCATCTGCAGGCATCTGGCTGCGATCCTTGGCTTTTCCCAGATGGCAAGGAAAAACACTCCATAGCTGGCAGTCCCAGGTCCTCAAGTGCCCCAGACCCAAAGGCTCACACTCTGAGCGCCGAGAGCCAGGATCCTGTTTGTCCAGTCTATTCAGGTGTACTTACACTGGAGCCTGGAGATGCTCGGGTTGGAAGCTTACTGCTTTGGGCTTTGATTACCAGTGGTCCTGGCATTTGACAGCTTTATCATCTTAGGTTTCTAGCAGCAGTGGGCAGTGGGGTTCCTTCCTATAGCTGTTACAGCTTCTGAGGGCCTCAGGTGTTGACCCTCAGTTCTTACAGAGGCGAGCGTTCTGGTTCTCAGGCCTAGGGTCTCTGAGACCCTCAGAGTTTACATCTTAGAAGTTCTCTGGAAATCTTCCAGTAACTTGGCTAATGGTTTCTCTTTTTTAGCTCTTTACAGCCCTCGTTAGCTCCTGCACCCAGTCCTGGTCGTGTTATGGACCCTCTTACTGCTGCTGTCTCTGCATTGCTGTCCCCAGCTTATTCTCTTCCATTCCCTCCTCTCTGTGCCACAGTTCATCCTAGGCTAACAATTAAGATCAAAGGCAGGAATGAAGGGCCCTGTGTGTGTGTGTGCAGAGGGGTAATAACATGATGACTGTGTTTGTGCTACTCAAGGTAGACCTTCATACCCATGAAGGACTGTTCCCACTAACCTCGGGCTGCCCACCAGGAAGTGCTCCCCCTCTGGCCTGAGTGAAAATGGCTGCTGGCAGTTAGTGAGGCTTGATGGACAAGGGTCCAGTGCAGGCTGTCAGAATGCTGTGGCCAAGACAGAGATTGCTGGAGGCAGACTTGTGCTTCAGCAGCAGGCAGCTGTGGTGGCCATGCAGCGCCCTCAGTTCAGCAGCAGGCAGCTGAGGTGGCCATGCAGCAGCGCCCTCAGTTCAGCAGCAGGCAGCTGTGGTGGCCATGCAGTGCCCTCAGTTCAGCAGCTATGTTGCCTTCCAAAGGCATCTGCAGAATATTTAAAGCAGGGCATGAAGAAGGCCTAACTGGCTGCTTAGCTGATGGTCTCTACTCCAGGCAGCTAGGGTGCCAGGTAAGAGACTAACTTGTCAACTAGAGTCAGAGGGCCCTGAGCTGATTAGGAGGAAAAATAAAAATAAAGGGATGCTTATCTGGGTATGGGCAGATACTTTAATTCCAGCCCTTTGGAGACAGAGATGGACATTATCTCTGAGTTCAAAGCCAGTCTGGTCTCCATGTGAGTTCAGGCCAAACAAGGCTACATAGTGAAACACTGTCTCAGAAAACAAAACATGAGCAGTGAAGTGCTTTCACATTATTTAACCTAATATCCCCGAGGAGACTCAGGTCCTCACATCTGCCCCCAGAGACAGCCTGAGAGAGAGGCCCGTGTACTTCACAATACGCTGGGCACCTCTAAAGCCATCCTCTCCGTCATACATTGCTTTTAATGGTGAAGTGTAGTTTAAGCTGGAGTTTTCTGAGCTGCAACGGAACCTTTGCTGTGGGAAGTGTCAGGCCACCCTCTCATGAGGCACTGCACCGTCAGGGAGGAGTGGAGCATGGAGTCTGGCAAAAGAGCTCTTCTGAGGCTTTCCCTGGAGTGACTGACACCATGCAGGGAATGTGTGGCACTCTGCATGGAAGATGGCTTCCAGCTCAAACCCGTCACCCTGAGTTCATTCCCTGGAACCTGTGTTAAAAAAGCAAGACCAGTGCCAGATGGTGGTGGCACACGCCTTTTAATCTCAGCACTACGGGGTGGGGCGGGGGGAACAGAGGCAGGTAAATGGTAAATGTCTGAGTTCAAAGCCAGCCTGATCTACAGAGTGAGTGAGTTCCAGGATGGCCAGGGCAACACAGAGAAACACTATCCTGGAAAACTTAGATAGATAGATAGATAGATAGATAGATAGATAGATAGATAGATAGATAGACAGACAGACACACAGGCGGATAGATAGACAGATGATAGCTACATAGATGATAGGTAGGTAGATAGATGGATAGCAGGATGCAGCAGTGCACATCTATAACCCCAGCGCCCCTACAGTGAGATGGGAGGTGCCGACAGGAGACTCACCTGTAAGCTCTATACCAGCCAGCCTGGAGTACACAGCACAGCAGAAACAAGAGAGACCCCTTAAGCAAGGTAAAAGGGAGAACTAACAACTGAACGTGGTCCTCTGAGGTCCTCTGATCTCTGCACATACTCCATGGCATGAGTACACCACATTCATATTCTCTCTCTCTCTCTCTCTCTCTCTCTCTCTCTCTCTCTCTCTCTCACACACACACACACACACACACACACACACTCACACAAAAAACTCAATTTAAATTGTAGTCCTCTACATATATGTGACAGTTATGTACCTTGGTCTACTTGTGGGACCCTGAAAATGGACGCAGGGACTGTCCCTAGTGCTTTGGCTGGCTCTTGGGACCCTACTCCTCATACTGGATTGCCTCGCCCAGCCTAAATACAAGGGGAGGTGCTTGGTCTGATGACAACTTTGATATGCCATGCTTGGTTGATACACATGGGAGGCCTGCCCCTTTCTGAACAGAAACAGGAGGAGTAGATGGGGGGGGGGGGGAAGAAGGGGCCAGAATGGGAAGAGAGGGAAGAGGGGAAACTTTGGTTGGGATGTAAAAAGAAAAAGAAATTGTAATTAGTTAAACAGGGAGGCCGGACACCACATACCTTTAATCCCAGCACGCAGGAGGCAGAAGCAGGTGAATCTCTGTCTTGTAGGTCATCCTGGTCAACATAACAAGCTTTGGGACAACCAGAGCTATGTGAGATTCTGTTTGAAAAGTAATATACAAGCAAATATCAACAAAAACAGAATGGAGAAGTTGGGGGAGGGTCCTAGAGAGCATCAGCCTGTGGGTCCCCATTGGGATCCAATGGGGGATCTAGCTTGTTTTCAATTCTCTCCAGTTGCTTGTTTCAAAATAAGAATGTATTGAGCTGGTTTCAGAGAGTCGACCTTGGGGTGCATCACTACACCGTTCATTGTTCTTGGCAATGACTGACTCAGTTCTGAGTGATTATCTTGTAGTTTTTAAATTTTGTAAGCCTGTGAGGGTGTACAACCACGCTTGAGGTCTTAGCTGCAAGTAGGCACCTGGCTTTCTGCTCCATGGTAGGTACTTGAGGAAGGGAGGTACTCACAGAAGCCACTAGGAGGCACTAGTCCTCCTTGACTTGTGCTGGGTCATCCTCTTGCTCAGGGTGACCTGGGAGCAGGGCAGTTCGCTGAGCTTTGATTAATCTGGCCTCTCAGAGCATGGGAAAGTATGTTTTAAGTTACTCAAGAGAGTCCCCTTAACCACAGAGGTGGTCCTGGATCAAGTCTATGGCCATAATCACCAGGAGCATGCCCAAGTGTCAGAGACCCAAAATTACCTGAAGCTGTCAAGTAGTTTTGAACCATGATCACTGCATGAATTATTATACAATTCTGGGGATTTTTTTTTTACCTTTGGCTTTGCTGATTTTCTTACAATATTAATGTTTACCACACAGTGTTCATTATTACCATTCTGGTGTTTCCGTGAGTGGCTTAGTCACCGTCCGTCCAGACAGTGAGATGAAGCAGCGTGGCCGCTTTCATGAACCCACTGGCGTTGGACACTTCAGTGTGTGGAAACTTTTTGGAACTTTGCAATACAAATATAATTTTTTGTATTAAACCTTTATTCCCAGAGACTGTGGGCAGCAAGAAAAATCAAAAAGGAGAGGAGAACAAAGTGGCACACACTGTAATCCCAGGACCTGGAGTCTTGAGGCAGGAGGATGGTGGGCTTGCATAGCAAGACACTGTCTCAAAAGAAAGAAAAGGGGTGAGGGTGGCCAGAGAAGTGGCTGAGCAGTTAGGAAGGAGTGCTGCTCTCGCAGAGGACCAGCGTTGGATCCTCAGGACGCGCAGCTATCAGGCGGCTCACAACCACCTGTAACTCCAGCTCCAGTGACTCTGGTGGCTCTGTGTTCTGTAGACACCTATACAACATAGATAATTAAAAATAAAATAATAAAGCTTTATTTAAAAGGGGGAGCTAGAGAAATGGCTCAACAATTATGAACACTTGCTGCTTTTGCAGAGGCGGACCCAACTTGAGTTCCCAGCAGCCACATTGGACAACTCACAGCAGCCTCTGGAGTAACTCTAACTCCAGAGAGCTGGACGTCATCTTCTAGCCCACAGAAACACACACATGAGTAAAAATAAACTCTTCAGCACTGGAGAGCTGGCTCAGTGGTGAAGAGCACTTGTGTTTGCAAAGCTCCCAGGTTCGATTCCCAGTCCCCCATGGAGGCTCCCCGCCTCTGTGAGCACCAGCCTGTATGTGGTGCACAGACATACATGCAGGCAAAACACTCATACACACAAAATAATAAAAGTTAAATTAAATCTTTTTTTTTTTTTTTTTTAAGATGAGGAAAAGAGCGGGCTGGTGTGCATATTCAGGCACTGTGAGGAGTGCCGGTGTCTGCCAATAGACTGTTAGGGCCGCCATCTGCTGACTGTCAGGAGGTGTGTTTCGGATACCCGTGTCATCCCTCTCCTGTCGCTCCTCTTCCCTCTGCAGGTCCACATGAAGGATGTCATGTCAGCACTGTGGGTCTCAGGGCTGGACTCCAGCTACCTGCGGGAGCAGATGCTGAATGAGCCCTTGGTACGGGAAATCGTCAAAGAGTGCAGCAACATCCCGCTCAGCCAGCCGCAGCAGGGGGAGGCCATGCTGGCCAGCTTCAAGCCGAGGGGCTACTCAGAGTGCATAGTGACCATTGGAGGGGAGGAAAGAGTGTGAGTGTGGCAGGGGCCTTGGGAGAGGGGTGTGAGGGGAGGGGGGGTTACAACACACAAGAAATGCAAGGTAATATTCTGGGCCAAAACGTGACAGTAATTGGCTTTCTGAGATGGTTAACCGTGTGTCGACCTCTGACATTGACCGTGGGGTCCGACTGTGAACAGAAATGTAAGACATCAATTGTGTATTTCCTTAGTTCGCGGAAACCCACGGCCGCCATGCGATGTATGTGCCCTCTCTACGACCCTAATCGGCAGCTGTGGATTGAACTGGCCCCTCTGAGCATGCCCAGAATTAACCATGGCGTTCTCTCAGCAGGTACGCTCCGCTTAGCTCTAGCAGAGCCCTGACCAAGGAGTATGTCGTTTCCGGCCTATGCAGATGCGCAGGCGCAATTTTTCCTGGTGTGGTGCCACACACCTTTAATCGCAGAACTTGGGAGACAGAGGCAGGAGGATCTCTGAGTCTGAGACCAGCCAGGTCTGCCTAACAAATTTAGGTTAGTAGGGATATGTAGTTGTATACTGTCTCCAAAAAATAAAGATAGGGAGTGTGGCCCTATAGTAGTGTGGCCAGGCTCTGGGCTCCATCACCACCTGGTGTGGTGACATGAGTTCCAGGGATCAAACTCAGGTTATCTGCCTTTGCAGCAAGCTCTTTTTCCTGCTAAGCCATTTCGTCTGCCCTTCTCGTCTTCATCCATTTGTCCTCCTGCCTGTGCTGCCTCTGCTCTTAGAAGTCTTGCCAAGCATGTCAGACCTTTCTCCTCCATCCTCTGCTTGCTCGTCTCGGCTTCTGGCTTCTGTGTCTCTCTTGCTGGCTTGCTGGTGGCTTTTGATTTATCTTCTGTGACTTTTCAGCATTGAGAATCTATTGGTCCATCCATGGGGCTTTTCTGTTTCTGTTTCTCTTTGAATCTTTGCTCGGTATACACTCATTTTGTAGCTAAGTTTTCCGGTTGTGGCAAGAGTTGCTGCTTTGCCTTCTCTAGTTATCCAGTCGAGTCTTGGCAACCCCGTTGCCAGTGCTTGCTTCTGCTCTCACTCCATGTGTCCTGATGTGCCTGAGAGCTTCGCTGGAGGTTCTTCTTCACAGGAACAATTAATGCCTTGCAACATGTCAAGTAGTCTGGGCTTGCATGAAAGCGCCCTCTTTCTTCAGTAGAGGTTTGACATTCGTTTCTGATCATTGCAGGGAAATACTGTATTTCCAAAATTGAGTTCAAGTTTGAAACTTTCTAGACAAGCAGGAGGTTTAAATCAGTCAGGCTGGACAAGGTGGGAAAAGGCACTTGCCACCACTGAGGACCTGAGTTCAATCCCTGGGGCTCACACAGTGGAAGGAGAGAAACAACTCCTGCGAGTTGTTCTCTGACCTTCATATGTGATTCGTGGCATGTGCACATGCACGTACATACACACATACACACATGCACTTGAAACTTTTAATTTTAATTTTTTGAGAATACCATTCATGAGTACATTTTATATTTATACTGTTCCTATCCTTTCCTCTTCTCACGCCAACTCTTCTGTGTTCCACCATGACCCCATCTCAAATTAATGACCTTTTGTAAAATATATATATGTACATACACACGCACATATACATATGTGTGTGTAATCTCCTGAGTCAATGTTGTCTGTATGTACGTGTATCTAGGGTTGACCACTTAGGATTGGGAAACCTATCTAGCTGCCTCTAGAACTTCCTCTAGTAGCACACGGAGCCTTATGAGATTTTCCCTGCTGTGTTGGCTGTGGACGGTTGTGGTCTTGTGTAGGCGACCCAGCTGTTGAGAGTTCGCTGGTGCAGCTTCCCTTCCTGTCTAGAAGACACTGTCTCGCAGCAGATGTCCTGGCCCATCTGTCCCCACCCTCTCTTCCATGATGTCCTCTGAGCCTTAGATGCAGGGCTTGTGTTGTGATGTCCCAGTTAAGGTCAGGCACCCTATGGTCATTTACTTCCTGCAGTCTGGCCAGTGGTACTCACTGTTCTAGCCTCTAGACAGCAGCCTCTTTGACGAGGCTGAGAGCCGCACTCACGAGATAGAATGTGTACAATGTCAAATGTAATTTTTTTGAGGGTTTGGGTATAGTTTATTCAGTGAGTTATGGAGGGAAAGGGGAAGAGGAGAGACAGGCACAGAGAGAGAGAGAGAGAGAGAGAGAGAGAGAGAGAGAGAGAGAGAGAGAGAGAGAGAGAGAGAGAGAAACACACAGAGAGAAACAGAGAGAGAGAGAGAAAGAGAGAGAGAGAAACAGAGAGAGAGAGAAACAGAGAGAGAGAGAGAAACAGAGAGAGAGGAAGGGGGAGGAGAAGAGAGGAGAAGCTACCTTTTTGGGAGACGGAAGAAAAAAGTGTCAAATATAATTTTAAAAAAGAAAGTTGAGCCAGGTGGTGGTGGCGCACGCCTTTAATCCCAGCACTTGGGAGGCAGAGGCAGGCGGATCTCTGTGGGTCTGAGACCAGCCTGGCCTACAGAGCGAGTTCTAGGGCATCCAGAGCTACACAGAGAAACCCTGTGTCGAAAAACACAAACAAACAACGACAGTATTGAGTAAAGTAGAATGGGCAGAGTGACTAATAAGTTTGGATCTGTCACCAGGGGACAAGAAGACTGTGAGGGGTGGGGAGGGGAACTCTAAATGCACCATAGCACTTGCTGAAGGTGCCCTGTGTGTCCCCTGTGCTTTCTTCAGAAGGGTTTTTGTTTGTGTTGGGGGGCCAAGACGAAAATAAGCAGACGCTGAGCTCGGGAGAGAAGTACGACCCAGACGCCAACACGTGGACTCCTCTCCCGCCCATGAATGAGGTACGGTGCGGTTTGTCTCCAAGGTGTTTCTTTTCTCCGCAGCACCTTTATTAGTGTGGGTTCTAGTGTATAGAAAGAAGAAGCAGCCCGCTACCTGGAGCCCTGCTTTCTCTCATTGCCTCTCCTGCCTTTTCCTACCCTGCCTCCTCGTGGCCTGCTGCCTAGCACCACCTCCCTGTTGCTTGCCCTAGCCTCCTTCCTCTCTTGTTCCCCACCTCTGCACACGCTGGTTTTTCGTGTTCCTACAGAGACTCCACAAGCCCGGGGCGAATGATAAGCACCTCTGGCTTCCTGATACTCTGGCATGCCCTGTTCCCCACGAGGGCCAATCCTGGCCACCGATAGTCCACAGTACCTGGCTTTTGTCATCTGCCACAGTCTCCTCGGAAGCCTGCCTGCCCATAAGTGCTCAGAATCAATGTCACGGATTTAGTTATCCTGGGAGGCAGGCGTTCTTCTGAGTTCTGTAGGTTAAGCACAGAATCTCTGAGCCTGCATCTTTGGTCCCTGGTCCTGAGGAGTGACTGGCTCTGTCTGTTGTGCTGAGGAAGCCACACATAATAGTTCCGAGGAGAAAGAGTATCACAGGCTCTTCTCTGCTGGGATGCTGGAATAAGACAGTGCCTGTGACATTTAGCAAACTTTGAACATCCACTTTTTCCTACAAAGGTTTGTGCTATCTTTCCAGGCAAGACACAACTTTGGGATCGTGGAGATAGATGGGATGCTGTACATCCTTGGAGGGGAGGATGGTGACCGGGAGTTGATTTCCATGGAGTGTTATGATATTTATTCAAAAACCTGGACAAAGCAACCTGACTTGACCATGGTTAGAAAGGTGAGTGCAACAGGCTGCGGTAGCTGACGTCTTTGCAAGCTGACTCCAAAGTCAGTGTCTCCTCCTGGGGATGGTTGTTGCAGTGGGGAGGCTCATACCCAGGGACTCACATAGTGCTCTTCTGCTACACAAAGTCCCCAGCACACATCTTCATTATTCAGTATGCTTTTGAACAATGCCGAGACGATCAAGGCTCGAGAATTCTAGACAGATCTCTGCTGGCAGCTTGTCTTCATGTCAGCAGTTACACGTCCCAAGTGGAAAGAGCCCGTGCGAGTGTTAGTCTACCGCCGAGCAGCAGTGCTGGCTTGCAGGGTCTGTAGAAAATACTTTGTGGATAGCCTGATCTCTCCTGCATTCCTCATGCCCTCTACAAGTAAAAAAACTGCAGTGGCTTCCTCCCGTGAGCCTCCCTCACTTAGCCTCAGGTCACAGGCAGAGCTGTCCATCAAGCCATCTGGATATCCTGTCTTCTCTTACTGTGTACCCGTCCAATGTCCAATGAGAGCATTGTGACAGCCACTGAGCAGCTCGTTGTTCCAAGAATATTAACTCTTGGGAACTCAAATACTGGTGAAAGGAGACGGATGCTGGAAAGCCCCTTCTACTCCCATCTCAGCCATCCCGGTTTTCAAAGCTCCCGTGAAATGTCAGATATATTATGGGGACATCAGGATGGCTCAGTGGGTAAAGGTGCTTGCTGCCAAGCTTCCAAACGGTAGAAGAAGAGAGCCAGGGCAAAAAAAAAAAAAAATTTTTTTTTATAAGATTAGGGGCTGGGGTCCAGTTTCGTGGCAGAACACTAGCCCGGCATGGCCTCACAAAAAGTATAGTTACTGCTTCTTTGCTGAAGATGGATGAAGACTCCTTCTCTGGGGATTTCCAGTATGTGCCTCCAGCTCTCTCCACCTCCCAAGCCCTGTGGGGTCATGCGAGGAGGTGTCATTGTTTTGCTCTTAGGAGTCAGCACTTGTCCTAAGTATGTGACCATGCTCTCCGCGTCAGTTGCTGTCTGCTCATCCAGTTCCAATGACAAATGGTACCTCTCCCTTCCATTGTGGGTTTTTTTTTTCTTTCAGATTGGCTGCTATGCAGCTATGAAAAAGAAAATCTATGCCATGGGTGGAGGATCATATGGAAAATTGTTTGAGTCTGTAGAGTGTTACGATCCCCGGACCCAGCAGTGGACTGCCATATGTCCACTGAAAGAGAGGAGGTGAGGCAGAGTGTGTGTTGTGTGCTCCTCAGTGTGCCTCCTAAAACAGAAGGCCCAGGTGCCGTTACAACAAGCCATAGAGACTGGGAAGGGAGCTCAGTGTTAGAGTGTGTGGTGTGCTGCACGGTGTCGGGACCAGGGTTCAGATCCCCAGAACCTGAGTCAGTGCCAGGTAGGCAGTCCCGGCACTGGAAAGGCAGAGACAACAAGCGTTCCTGAGGAAGCTGGCTTTCTAGACAAGTCCAGCTAACCCAAGTTAGCAAACTCTGGGTTCAGTTGAGAGATCTTGCCTTAGTGAATAAGGAATCCAGAAATTACTACTGATGTCAGCCTTAGGGCCTCCACATGCACACGCACACGCGCACACACACACACACACGTGTGCCTAAACATGTGAAGACAAAAAACAGTTGGGTTGCTTGGGCATGGTGGTACCTGCCTGTCATCCCAGCACTTGGGAGACTGCTGAGGCAAGAGGATTGCTGTGAGTTCAAGGCCGGTATGGTCCACATAATGAGTTCCAGCGTACCCTGGGTACGTAATGAGACCCTGTCTCAAAGAGACCAGCAGACAGAAGAACAAGTAATAGAGGACTTAGGACTGAGGTCCTGAGCTCTGAGCCCGCACCTGTGACTGTGGCCCTACAGGTTTGGAGCAGTGGCCTGCGGTGTTGCCATGGAGCTATATGTATTCGGAGGCGTCAGAAGTCGAGAGGACATCCAGGGCAGTGAGATGGTCACCTGCAAGTCTGAGTTCTATCACGATGAGTTTAAGAGGTAAGCAGTGTTGAGGCTTCCGCCCAGGTTCTCTCCCTCTGTGAATTGGACAGTCTTGAGGCCCTTATATATCTGTCCTTGCCCTCAGTGCTTTCAGAGATGTGTCTCAGCTTTGATTTCTAGTGACTTCTCTGAATTTTCTGTTTAGGGAGTATGTCCAGTATGTACTAGATATTTTTTCAGTGACTTCAGAAGTTGAGGAGTACCTTAGCTGCTTTTCTCTTGCAGTGATAAGACATGATGACCAAGGCAGCTTATAAAAGAGTACATTTAATTGGGCTTACAGTTTCAGAGGGCTAGCATTCATGGTGGGGGAAAAAAGGGCATGGCAGCAGCAACAGTTGAGAGCTCACATTTTGATCTGAAAATTGGAAGCAGAGAGACAGCAGTGGAAATGGCCAGAGCCCTTTTTTTTTTTTTTTTTTTTTTTTTTTTTTTTTTTNTTTTTTTTTTTTTTTTTTTTTTTTTTTTTTTTTTGGAGACAGGGTTTCTCTGTGTAGCTTTTCCTGGCCCTAGCTCCGTAGACCAGGCTGGCCTCGAACTCACAGAGATCCACCTGCCTCTGCCTCCCAAGTACTGGGATTAAAGGCGTGTGCCACCATGTCCAGCTTAAGGAAAACATTTTGTAAAATGCCTGCCAGGCCACGGTGTGCTTCTGTGGTAGTTGCGGTCTCCTCCTCTCACACTTTCCCCTCATAAGCACGAGGCAGTGTTCTCACTGCAGTGACTGGTTCAGATCCCCACAGAAGGTCATGGCTGATCTTACGTGCTTCGGTCATGTTCATGTTACCAGAGCGGGGAGCCAGAAGATAAATGTTATCTCATTTCCTGCCTTTGAGATTGGGAGAAGAATGAGCAGGTACCAGGCGTTAGACACGCATATAAATGTCGCCCAGTCTGCCACACGCTTTCCCTCCAGGATATTTTCAGAGATGCTTTTGCTTCCCGTTACTCGGAGTAGACTGCCAGGGGAATTTACTAGACAGAAAATGAAGCCGTTTAGACGGTATTTGCTCTGTAGGGGTGGGCAGAGGATATCAGCGGCTTGCTACATTTCTTCTTTGATACGCTACGGTGGGGGCCGGCTGCCGCAGTAGGAAATAGTGTATTAATCTCTCCCCCAGATGAGCGTGAGACAGTCTGTCCCACTTGATGAACATGCAGTAGCAGCATGTTTGGCTTAACACTGACACAGCCCTCTCTTCATGACGACTGACTCAGTGCGTAGTCACTGTGAGCTGCAGCTTGTCTGCAGTCACTCGCTGACGGTCCCTCTTCATTTTGACTGCTGCCTTGGGTGGAACTCAAATCTGGCTGTAAAGCTTCCCAGCTGTCCTGGGACATGCTGCGTTCTAGAACCCTGGCGTTCCTGCCAGTCACCCGCAGCATCTTTGTGGTTGGTAAACTTGACGACCTGCTCTTAGTACCGAACTGCGGCCCTATGAGTAGAACCAGTGCCCCTTTTTCCATTTGTCTTCTCTTCCTTCCTTCCTTTTTTTCCTTTTTCTCTTTTATCTTCTTTCTTGAAGGTCTCACTCTGTAGCCCTGACTAATGTGGAACTCTGTATAATCCAGGCTTGCCTTAAACTCACAGAGATCTGTCTGCCTCTGCCTCCATACCTGGCTTTAAATTTATTTTTTATTATTTATGTATGTGTGTATGCATATGCACGCACTCAGGAAGGTCAAAAGACAGTGTGAGATGCCCCAGGAGCTGGAGTTATGAGCACCAGATGTGGGTGCTGGGAACTGAACCCAGGTCTTCAGAAAGAGCAGTCAGCACTTCTGACCACTATCCACCTCCCCAGCCCTGTGCCTGTATTTAGAAGGGAGTGGGGGAGAAGTGGGTCAGCTAGGAAAGCACTCGCTGCTCAAACATGTGGATCTCATTCTGTCCCCAGCACCCACATGAAAGCCAGGCCTGACATCGTCCTACACATACACTCCCTCCAACACAGCCACACCTACTCCAACAAAGCCATACCCCCTAATAGTGCCACCCCCTTTGGGGGGCCATTTGCTTTCAAACCACCGACCTTTCATCCTAAAATATTTTTTTCACCAGGCTGTGGTGGTACACGCCTTTAACCCCAGCACTCAGGAGGCAGAGGCAGTAGGATCTCTGTGAGTTCGAAGCCAACCTGGTCTAAAGAGTGAGTTCCAGGACAGCCAGTGCTGTTACACGGAGAAACCGTGTCTCGTGGGGGGAAAAAATTTTCAAATAAAATACATACATCTCCAGCCTGTGTTCCCAGGCTCCCAGTGTTAGTTTATAAACAGAAAGCAGCTGCTAAGACCTCTTGTCAGTGACGTGCGGGACGTTTGCACATTTGTGAAACACTGAGCATGAGCAACACCAGATGCTGCGCGGCCTCTGCTGGGCTCCTCTGTTCCTCTCTGAGGCCATGTCACATGTAACCACACCAGCAGACCTGGAACCCGAGCAGCTCAGACTTCTGGCTGCAGGGCTCTCCCATGCACCCACCCTACTGGCCTGACTCTGTTCCCATAAATCCTGGCAGAAAAATAGCGCCCAGCCGGGGGAGGGGGGGGCAGCATTCCCGGGTATGCTCTCCTCGCAGCCGTGGGAGCTGCTGCCAGATGTGTGGTCTCTGTCAGCATGGAGACCATTCCAATAGTAGGAGTCTCTTGTCTTTCCTGTCTTCGTTCCCTATTTTTAGGTTAAAGCTTTCCTGGGAAAATGCCATATCTTACTGTTTTCTGTGGTTTCTGAATTTAAATAAATAAATAAGGCCACAAGTTACTCCTGAGTCATGGTAATGACACATGACACCCAGAGAGCAGGGATTTCTCTATCTGGGTGTTCCTGTGGCCCTGTGGTATTTGTCTCTGTGCCTACACTCTCACAGGATCCTCCCCGTTCCCTTACTCTCAGGCCATTGCCACATTTTACCTTTCACCTTGATGGGGGGGTCTCTTGGGCACCCACATTCTCCCCTGCTGCCCCCGCCATGGACTCTTCCTCCCCTCAGAGCAGTGTGTACATGCATTCCCCCTTCCCAGGCTTCTGCGAGGGGAAGCAGACACTGCTGTCCTCTGAGTGCCCTGCTGAGTATCCTCTATGTCCTGAGGCCGAGGCCTCTCTTGTGGCGTCTTCCTTTCCCGAGTCCTGTCCTTTCACCTCTGCCTGAGTCTCCGGCCTTGATACATGGTCCTTGTGTTAACTTTGAAGTTGTGTTGCCAATGCCACCCTTTCATCTTTGAGTGTACAATAGAAAAGGGATGCTTGATACCTGGGCAGAGGCTGGTGACCCTTGGACAGGGGGTCATGTGGCAGAAAGGACTAACTCAATCCCTAGATTTCTTCTGCCCTCCAAAGACAAGAAATCCACTGTATCCAGGAGGAACTGGTAGAAAAAAATACAGGCATGTGAAACCTGTCCTCCATCAATTCTCTTAGAAAAGGTAGAAAAGGCTGGGCATGGTGGAATACACTGTAATCTTAGTACCCAAAAGGCTGAAACAGAAGTTTTAGTCCAAGCTAACATCAATACATACTGCAAACTTAGGAGGGAGAGTGGGGGAGGAAAATGTGTGCAGTGTCCCCAGCTGTGCTGGGTGACTGGGCTGGTCGCCATGGCTGTCCAGATGTGGTGTGTCTTCCCATCCCATCCTTGCTCTGCAGCTGCGAGCTAGCTGGTGTTTCCTCTTCGTCCTGTTTGCACGGCTCAACAGAGAAGTTTTTCTGTCTTGGTCTTAGAAGGCAGGGCCAGCAGTTAACCTGCGCAGTGTGGTCTCAGGGCTGACTCAGCCGTGTGTGAAAATTGGTCATCCTGACATTCTGCAGAAAGCACACTGCGTGCCCTTGCTGAGCGTGTCCTTTCATTCGCACCTCACGGTTGGGAAGAAGGGAGCGCTGCAGCTCACTCAGTAAGACTTGTGGGGTAGCGAGTAGGGAGCGAACCCTGCTCTTTTGTTTGTTTCTTTGTTTCGTTCTTGTTTTTCCCAGACAGGGCTTCCCAGTAGCTATGGAGCCAGTTCTGGAACTCACTCTGTAGACCAGGCTGGCCTCGAACTCACAGAGATCTGCCTGTCTCTGCCTCCCAAGTGCTGAGACCACCGCCCGGCGTGAACCCTGCTCTTGACCTCATCACTTTAAGTCATGGTCCAGTCTGGAGGCAGAAACCACACTGTAATCTAAACAGAGAAAATGCAATAATGTCTATAATTATTGACCAGCAATGACAAGGGATGAGAAGGACTCTGAGAACAGCAGGCATTGGGCTGGGATATGGCTCAGTAGGTAGATGCTTAACATTTGTGAGGCCAAAGTCCATATTCTTTTTTTTTTTTAATATTTATTTATTATGTATACAGTGTTCTGTCTGTCTGTATGTTTGCCAGAAGAGGGCACCAGATCTCATTACAGATGGCTATGTGCCACCATGTTGTTGCTGGAAATTGAACTCAGAACCTCTGGAAGAGCAGTCAGTGCTCTTAACCTCTGAGCCGTCTCTCCAGCCCCAAGATTTATTTATTGTGTATACAATATTCTGCCTGTAAGCATGCCTGCAGGCCAGAAGAGGGCACCAGATGTCATTACAGATGGTTGTGTGCCACCATGTGGTTGCTGGGAATTGAACTCAGGACCTTTAGAAGAGCAGGCAGTGCTCTTAACCACTGAGCCATCTCTCCAGCTCAAAGTGCATATTCTTAGCCCCAGCAAACCAAGTGATCATAGACTGGGGATGTGGCTCAGAAGAGAGCGTGGAGCCCTGGGGCCCATCCTTTGTACCCCATAACTCAGCCTGTTACCCAGAACTCATGAGGTGGAAGGATGAGAAGCTAAGGTCATCCTTGGCAGCTTAGCTGTTAGAGACCAGCGGCCATCTCAGAGGAAGGGAAAGGAAGAGGGCAGGCGAGACAGGAGAGGGGCAAGGGTATGCGGTGGTGGCTTAGCTTTACTTTATAATCTTGTTTCCTTGTTTCTTGGAATTCAAAATAAGGAACCTGTTTCCTAACAGCCAGGGAAGAGTTCATTGAAGTCGAAGTGAGATGTTCCTATGGTGGTTTGACTTCAGAGTTCACTCGCTTGCTACACAGGCTCCTTCACTGCTGTGCAGAGCGGAGAGGCCAAAGTGTCCACTGAAGTGCATGCGCCATCCTCGACAGTGAGGCCTCAGGGCTGCTTAGGCGGTGGCTATGATTTGGCATGCCTGTAAGCTATTAGTGGGAAATGGGCCACGGTTTCCTGAGTGAACGTTACTGCACGGCAAAGCCTAGATTTTATCTACCTCATAGGAAGGTCAGAGAGCAACCTTTGCAGGAGTTGATTCTTCAGTGTGGATCCCAAGGATCAAACTAAGGCAACAGGCTGAGCAGCAAACACCTTTACTAACTGAGCCATATCTGTTTGCACTAATTTTTATATGTATTTCTGTTTATGAGTGTTTTGCCTGTATTATATGTATACCATGTGTGTGCCTGTGGCGGTCAGCAGAGGGCATCAGATTCCCTAGAAATGGAATTTCAGATGGCTGTGAGCCACCATGTGGGTGCTGGAAACTGAATTGAATCCTCTGTAAAAACAACAAATGCTCTAAACCCCCAAGCCATCTCTCCAGCCCCTGCAGCCATTTTAGGCCTCTAGAAAAGTCTCATAAAGTCAGGGTATTCCCATAAGTCATACGTTTGCCTTCTAATGCTAGTGTCCCCATTGACCAGAACCCTAGTGTCAAAGCTATGCAGGGCTAGCCTAAAGTACAGACTGCCAGCAAAGTCACCTGCTCTCTGCCAACATGTCCCTTGCCTCAGTTCAACCTGGATTGCAGTTGCCAACAGGTGCTGTGTTTCCTTGCTGCCCCTTAGCCTGTGATAGCCCCTGTCTTTCCTGACTTTGACACTTGAAGGTTAGTCAGGTTTTTTTTTTCCTAGAAAGCCTTTTTTAAAAGGGCTTATCTTATTTTTATTTGTGTGTGTGTTCTCTAAAATGAGCAAATTTTTGCAAAAGAAGGTGCATAAAAGTACCCAGTAAATGTGTGCCAAAATCCCCAGCACAGTTAGACTTAAGGGAATTCTTGTTGTTATAGTGGCTCAGTCTTCAAAGGACTGAGGGCACCAAGACCCAGTGAGCATGAACAGCTGGGATTCCCATGCCTCGTTAACTAGAAGACAGAGCAGCATTGTATTTTGAGTAAGAGGGATATTTTCTCATCACATGCCACATGCCCTTTCTGCAGAATCCAGCCATTCTGGAAGCCCACCAAAATCCAGAAACAAACAAGGCTCAGGCTCACCTAATGTCCCTGACGGTTGTCGTTACAGCAGCCCAAGCCAGAAGGCATCCAGATGAGTGCTAGCAAGTGTGCTGGAACTTTAACACTAAGCATATCCCTGGGCTGGAGAGATGCTCAGTGGTGAAGACCACTTGCTGCTCTTGCAAAGGGCTGGGGTTCAGTTCCCAGCACCCACATCAGAGGGGCTCACGGTTGCCTGTAACTGCAGTTCCAGGGGGTTTGGCTTTGTCCTCTGCCCTCCATGGGCACTTCAGTCACGTGTATGCACATACCTACACACAGACATACACACACAATTAAAAGTTTAAAAGGAGGGAAGCAACAGTATGTGAGTGAGTAAGCCACACATGAATGAGTCCGCGAGCTGTGGTGCTGGGCAGAGGCAGTCCTACTCTGTGGCAGTCACTGCCGGAGCCTTTGTTGTCTGTCTCGACAGTCACCACAGCCACGGTTCTTGCGAGTGGAGTGGGGTCAAGAGTGGCAGTGCACAGTGTGCTGGTGTCTTGCCAAGTTGCACTGTCCCCATTTGTTCTTTTGATTTCTTGAGTTGTGTCTGTTGGTCTTGCTTCCAGGTGGATCTATCTTAACGATCAGAACCTATGCATTCCTGCCAGTTCATCCTTTGTGTATGGCGCTGTCCCCATAGGAGCCAGTATTTATGTTATCGGAGACCTTGACACAGGTGAGAAATTCGCGGGGGTTTCTCGGGAGCCGCTTCCAGGGGCTCAGGTGCACCAGCTCAGCTCTGCCCCCTCTCTGTGTCTAGGTACCAACTATGACTACGTGCGTGAGTTTAAGAGAAGCACGGGCACCTGGCACCACACGAAGCCACTCCTGCCGTCTGACCTTCGGCGCACAGGCTGCGCAGCTTTGCGCATCGCCAACTGCAAGCTCTTCCGTCTGCAGCTGCAGCAAGGCTTGTTCCGCATCCGGGTCCATTCCCCTTGAAGAGGAAGAGGAGCCAAAAGCGAGGTCCTGCCCCAAGCGCATCACGTGGCTGGTCGTCAGCAAGCGCAGAGAAGCAGCTCCATCTTGCTCTGTGCTGGGCATCAGTATGGTTACTCTTTGGTGGTTTTTTAATGCTTAGAAACTTGGGCTTCTGCTCTTGTTTGGAGACCATGTAACTGTTGAAAAACTACCCGGGAGGAATCAGTTCCTCCAGCCCGATGCGTTCGTAAACTGTGGAGGCTAGTGAATGTCAAAAGGAGGGAGTGGGGGGTTGGTGTCGTGTGAAATATCAGAGTTAAAGCCCTAAGGTGCGTATTCCCGCAAGGGAACTCTTACCTAACTGACTGTGTCCCAGTGTATGTGGCTGAGGTAGACAAACAACAGAACCCATATATGCAAGCCAACATCCCCAGCACACAAGGCTGTCCTTGTATGGTGTGGAGGGGTAGATGCCTAGCCACACTCAGTAAACTGAGATTTGTGCCAGTTAGTTCCCATTATCACTAGTCCTCTGTCTTAAGATTCTTTAAGAACTATACTCTGATGAACTGAGACTGGGAGAAAACTCCTCTCTGACAACAATCTGTCTTTCAGTTGCCCAAAGAGCTCAAGTCCGCAGCCCCATATTGAGTTTAAAGGAATCGCTCGCTATAAAAGACCCTGCGTTCTGAGAGAGTTCTGGGGGGCGCTGTGAGCTTGGGAGGGAGCGTGTACCATTCTTTCTTTCTACCTGGAAAAGCAAACTCCAGGCTGGTAGCACAGAGGAGACTTCAGAGTCGAGCAAATGACAGAGGCCTGCTGCAACTAAAAACAGTGAAACACTAAAAACACAAAAAAGCTGTCCAGGTGATATCCATAGGAATCAAACCTTCTTCCACCCTGTCGGAAAGCACACGAAGTCCTGTTTACTGCTGCTTAGACATTACAAACTTATCTTCGAACGCAGGTGTGTTTGGAATCTCGTCTTTGTAACAGGCTGCCCCCAAAGCCGTTCTCTGGTAGTTTTAGATGACTTTCACTCCCAGGAATGTTTGGCTGGTAGAATAAACTACCTCAACTTAATTTCATTCTGTTCCCGTTAGTGCCCTCTTCCTTTTTCCCTCCTTTCCCGTCACTCATTGCCACTTCCGCCCTCCTTCCCATTTCCCATTAGTAAAAACAAGCCAATCTTTGGTTGGTGGAATTTATCTCATAAGATACTGTTTTCCATTCAGATTATGCCCCTTGGTGTGAAGTCAGGGACTGGAGTGCACTCTGTTACTTGATAGTGTGAGTTGTATGCAATATCAATCTTGATATAGAGTTCCTTGTTTCTAATTGTTTTCTACAAGTTTCTTTCTTGGCTAGAAGAGGCAACATTGTATCTTAGTGATTGCTAAATGTATAAGTACATCCTTTGGTTATAAATTGGAGAACAGGAATTTCTTCTAGAAACTTCCTACGTGAGATGTTTATATGCAATTAAATTGCATATGAAACCTTAATCCCCCCCCCCCCCCCCCCCCCCCCCCCCCCCCCCCCCCCCCCCCCCCCCCCCCCCCCCCCCCCCCCGCCTGTGGACCTGAAAAGGCATGGCTTCTCTGCAGGGATTTTCCTATACCTGTCTCGAGTGATTGGCATTATAAAAAGTTGGGGCGAAGAACCCGGAGGGTGGGTGTAAAAAGGGCTGGGCGTGGCTTCCTAACTCAGCTGTGGCCAGAAGCAACTTGGCAAGAGAAGGTCTAAGTTTTTGTCCTTTGCTCTAGGCCGGATGTGCCACACATCCACGCCATCCCATCCGGTCACATTCATTGTCAGTCAGTGGACTATGTTGCACATCAGCCATGTTGCTTTCCATCGAGGAAGCCACAGCAGAGAGAGCACCTCTGCTCTTCCTGAGATGGGGGCTTCCCAGGAGAGAAATTGCCAGAAGGGCCAGTTGACTTGGGTGAAATACCTGCACAGGACAGAGCCATGGCCTGCCAGAGCAGAGAGAAACCAGCGCAGGACAGCTGTGGTAACTGCTCTGTTTTGGTTTTTATTTGTTGTGTTGTTGTTGTTTGTTTGTTTGTTTAAACTCCTGAAGCTTAAAATTCTCAGTGTGCTTCAGGCCTCTCTCCAAGGAGACAGTTCCTTGTTTAGAGTCATGGGTCCAATAGTGATGTCACTAGTGCCTGTTGACTTGGTCAGTTCACTTAAAAAAACAAACAAACAAACAAACGGGTTTTCAATTCAGTTCATTGACACTATGGCTGCAGAAATTAATGTTTTATAAAATAAATTTGCAACTTAATATGGGATGCAATAACAAAAGCTGCTAAGTGCCAAACTGTTATTTTTAGGTGTGTGTGTGTGTGTGTGTGTGTGTGTGTGTGTGTGTGAGAGAGAGAGAGAGAGAGAGAGAGAGAGAGAGAGAGAGAGAGAGAGACTGACTATCCTGTTGAAAAGTGGGGCTGTATTTAATTTTACTATGATGTTTCAAAGCCAACCATACCTCTTGGTAACCACTCTCTCTTAGTGTCCAGCAGTAGCTTGTAGCCCCTGTCGTGCAGGTCGTGTTTCACCGCTGCGCCTGTGTCTTGGTCAGGTCTGCGTGAGTGGTCCTTCCCGTCTCGGTAAGGCACTTTGACCGGGTAGATGTTACATTTGGCAACGGAGGCTAGATCTTAAAATCTGAAACACAAACATCTTGGGGGAAGTGCAATTTCTTTTCCCTGGAAGGGCTTAGGCTACAGTCGTGTAATCAAGACACCCTCCTAGGCTAGAGTCTAAAGTATGTTTGTTTATTTCTCTAACATATCTAAACATAGATTTTTCAAAGATTTAAGTGCTTAATTTAAAATGAAGTGTTTTTTATGTGAAGAGTGTTTGTGTTCTGTGCGATGAGAAAGCGTGAGAGATGAGTGAATGTGCGTGTGTGTTGTGCCACGTGACTTGACATGTCTGTCTGTATATGTTTACTTTTGAATCGTAGTCACGAGCTATCTCTGCTACCGTCTCCTGGTGCTTCAGATAAACCTTGAGTCTGTCGACCTTCAGTTACACGGCTGTGTCAAACACGCACCGTGTGTAAATGCGGAATCTTTGTGGACAGTAGTCAATTTTACTAGCTTTGCCTCTTTTCCTTAGCAGGAGCGAAAACGTGGATTTACCTGCTAGCAGTTGATCCTAGGAAGGGCTGGTCTAAGGGGCCGAGGGTGCTATGTGGTTGCTCTGAGGAGTCATGGCTCTGGTTGGGCTTTCCAACCAAAAGTCTGCTGGGTCTGTGTCTGAGTCTTGTTTGTGCTGAAGCGAGTGTTCTGTTACATCTCACAGCTACTGAGGCTACTCTGATCTCCAGTGGCTTGACAGTGTCACCATACCCTTTATAAGTGGGGAGAGGCCACCCCTCAGAGGTGTCTCGGAAACATGGTCTCTTCCTGGAAGTGGTGAAAGTAGGGCTGTCCTTGCCGTGGTGCCGCAGATTCTCACAGGATGCCAGTCAGGTGTCTAGGGAAACAGCTGGCTCTCGTTGAGGGCTCTGCTTGGTAACTCCTCTGCAGTGCCCTGTGCCTGGGGTCTCAGAAGTTCTCTCTTATAGTGGGGAGGCTTTCCTGGTTACACAGTCCTCCTGTGGTCGGATGCTCTGGGAAGGGGTGAGGTGACTTTTATCATGTGCACTTAAAGGCTTCAGAACTACCTGAGAAATGCCCACCGGAAGGGTAGAGCAGTGTTTCCTTCTTGCTGTAACTTCCCCTTAGCCAAGAAAGCACCTAGAAAGCCAGGGATTGAAGAGGCGTGACAGCGCCTGCCCTGGGTCACCCACCAAATACAGAGGGCCTCCCTAGAATTGTGCTTGCGTTTCGGGGAACCTTACAAAGGAGGCAGAGGGGACACAGCCCTCCCTCTCTGTCTTATAAATTCGCTGGAGCTTGAGCAAGAACCTTGTCTGTGTGAGTTGGTCCGGGTTTGCAAGTAGGTATCGAGTCACAGTATTCTGGCCTTCAATGAGATGCTTTTCCCTAAGCAGAGAATGCGCTCTTCAGTTCTTCTGGGCTTCAAGTGAGAAGCTGTGTACATAGGTGGGCTGGCCTCAGAAATCCCAAGTGCCTCGTGTACTACTCGCACGTGCCTGCGTCCGCAAGTGCTTCCGCAGGACGCTGTACCTGTGCCCAGCGCGCCTCATAACGCTCATCACGTGAATGTCAGGTTGATTGGCTACATCTGACATGGGCTTATTAAAATCTTCTCCATGTCTGAGGTGGGTAGGGGCGCTCTCCCCTTCCTACAGTGAACATTCAAGTATGCGCAGAAGCCAGGCCCTGGGGTTACCAAGGGTAATCCAGCCAACTCAGCAAGAGCTTGAGCTTCCTCAGCATGCAGGTGTTTCTATTCCCAAAATGGACATCATTTGTAGTATGGGCTCAGCCCCCAGACCAACATTCTGGCTGGAGAAACTGGAAAACCTTTTCCTCTCCCTGTCAGTTGGCTGTTGAAAGTCTCGCACTTTCCTCGGTGTCTTCTGGAAGCAAGGCCCGGTTTATTCATAAAGACCGAAGCTAACATTTCATTGATTGTCCCCACTCAGTCGGGGAGGGAGGGACTGCTTTGGCAAGCTGAGGGGTCTTTCTGCCTTCTGAGTAGTCCCTAAAGGCTCCTTCTGGCTCGTTTTGATGTGCACATACAGTTCTGGGGTAGGGATGAGAGTGAGTCCATTGACTCAGATGGTGGGTGTTTCGCTCTCGCTGCCCGTGAAGAGTAGGCGCTTCCGCATATTCTGCCGCTGGGAGCGGCTCTGCCTCCTGCCTGGTGAACTCCCTTAGACCCTGGTGCTGAATTTCTTCAAGCTGCACCAGGGAAGTCTCCGTAGCTTACTTTATGGCATTTCCTGTTGAATCGGATGGGAATACTTGCAGTCATTCCCATTCTTTGTGTTCCTGGGGAAAAACAACCCTCTTGTCCGCTACCTCATGGTGTGGCATTGGATTTGTTCTGTCCTGTAACAAGCGCCTGGAAGCAAGCAGTGAGCAGCCTTGAGGAGGTCAGTTCTCTTGGGCGGAGTTTCCATTTTCGTACTTTTTAAAATAGGCACTTTAAACCTGGAGGAGCGGGCATTCTTCCGGGGCTTCTGCGAGGCGAAGACTTGAAACTCAACTTGAACTTGAAAGTCATTTAAAGGCGATGTTTTCTTGTGGTGGAGAAGTGGCAGAGTCGCGCAGCAGCACTGTGGCGTTTCTGTCCTTGTTAGGATCAGAGGAGAGCGCGTCTGCGATTTGACACAGTGTTTGGAACTTAGATGCTTGAGGCGGCTGTGATGTTTCTTGCAAGGTGCTGCCGATTCCTGGGAATTCCTCCTTTTGCTGGCTCCTCCCCTACATTCTCTTCTTCCTTCAGTCCTGAGAGCACCAGATGTCAGAACGAAACAGATGTTTTCCAGGTTCACGAGCAAGCTTGACCCAACTACCTTGAATCATGCTTTACTTAAGAGCGGGACTCATCTGTCACACTCGTAGGGGACTCTCCTGCGCTTCACCCTGCACATCCCTTCTCCACACCCAGTAACAGGCTCGCACTGACCCAGCCGCTGGCCACTCTTGGTCCCCAGGTGAGAATGACATCACTGAGGGAGCTCAGCAATTGGAGACACTCTTCCAGGAGTTCGTTCTTATAGGAATGGTCACTTCTCAGGTCACAGTTGGACCTGGCCTACTAAATAGGAGACCTGGGTCATCAACAGAGGCCAACCCTCTTTTCAGCTTTCTGTTCCCCTCGGAGTACTGCACTCTCTTGAGTGCTCCCCTCAGAGCTCTGTCCCTGGGTTCCAGCCCTCCCTTCAGAGCCTGATACATTTTAAAACCTCATGCAAGTGTAGTGCCCTAAGACTTTAATCCCAGCACTCAGGAGGCAGAGGCAGGCAGATCTCTGTGACGCTGAAGCCATCCTGGTCTACAGAGTGAGTTCCAGGACAGCCAGGACTACACAGAGGAACCCTATCCCAAAAGTCAAAAAACTAACAACACTAAAACACCTCATGCAATCAGATGATTGAATGTGTATTCTGGTGCCTTCAGAGTTGGCCCAGAGACTGTAAAATGGCAAAGCTTCTCCTCAGGTGGCAGCATATGGCAGTGTCTGTGCCCAGGTGAGCAACAGGAGCCCATGATTTTAGAGAGCAAATCCTCCCTTCCTGCTTAGGCCCCAGGTCTGTGGTTTTGGTTATTCCTAGGGATTTACCTGAGACTTGAACAGGCCCAGTAGTCAAGAGCACAGGAGTTGGAGAATCTGGGGTTGAAGACTTTTGCCACCTATGTTCTGGTCTCTAGGCTTAGCTCAGTTTGCCTTTGGAGAGAGGGTGTTGACCTCCCTGAGTGGTGATTACACTCAAGTTGCGGTGGCTGTCATTGCTCCGTCATCATTCCGTCTGTCCACACAGAGTGCTGTGAGACCCCGGGCCAGTAGGGGACTGCTTGGAGCTGAACATCTGGGCCTCCTGCCAGTGCTCACCCTAGTGTCTGCCACCACATAGATACCAGCAAATGTCTGCTTGTGCTTACAGGATGTGTTTCCTTTTGGCCACATGCCACCTCTCACCTCTAGCGTGAATGGTTATTATATTCAGGATAACCACGGATATCAGAAACACCCAACACATGTACTTGCAGTGTTCGAGAATTGTGGTCAAGCCAGGTGTGTTGGTGATACCTTTAGTGCCAACACTTGGGAGGCAGAGGCAGGCAGATCACTGTGAATCTGAGAACAGCCTGGTCTACATAAGAAGCGCCAGAACAGTTAGGACTACACAGAAAAATCCTGTCAAAAAAATAGAGAGAGAGATGGTCAGTTACCCTCTTGAGAGCTTGCCTAATCGAGTCCTCTAAGATTCCTTAAAATCCTTTACTAAGGTGGAACTTTACTTTTCACCAGAATATCAAATTTATCATCTAGATTGACCAAACAAACCGGGTGTTTTCTACATCTCTGACTGAGGTCACAAACCTAAGCTTCTGCTTCTTTAACTTGGATGTCGTGTGTGGAAACTGCTCCCCTGTGTCCGTGGTGAAGCCTCCAGCCTGGAGGATGTAGGCAAGCATGCAATGTGGGGTACAGCAGCCTGGGACCACCCAGCCACTTAGCAGTGACCAGGCTCTGGCCTGATGCTGGGCTTACAAAGGAGGAGTGTACTACTCCAGAACATTCAGGCCAGTAGGCAGAATTACAGAATCTCATCACCTTGCTTATTTATTTATTTATTTTTTCTTGAGTGTTTTGAGACAAGGTCTTAAGCCTCCTGCCTCCGCCTCCTAATGCTAGGTTTGCTCTTCTGTCGTCTTTAGACCCATGAGGTAGAACAGCTTTGGGGTAGCAGGGTGCCCTCTGCAGTACCAACTGATGGCTTCTGTGTACTCTACCAGGGCCCTCTGTGGACAGGACAGTCGGTGCGATGCTCTGCCTGGCATCCAGAGCTCCTGCAGGCCAGGGCTTCTGGGGGCTGTTTATTTAGTAAAAAGGGAGTGTGAAGCAGCCTTGTGTCCCATCTACACTTGCTTCATGTCCTTCCCCTCTATTCATCACTTTGGTCCCTTAACTGTGGCCATCGGCCACCACACCATGGCAGTCCCTTCACCAGGGTGGTCATGGTCCAACTTTCTATAATGGTCTTTTATTTCCAGAGATTTCTTTAAGCCATAATGTCCACCAGAACCATGATTTTTGGTTGACACACGTTTTGTTTTAAGCTCTTTGCTGCCTACTCTGCCTTAAGCTGGTAAATGACAGTCATGCCTCCCAAGTTGGGCTGGCTGCCCGGGAAGGTGCTTGGTGAACTCAGCCAACTTTCCCTGGGAACTGGCATGGCTCTTCGTTACCTCTTGTAAAGCATTTCTAGGGGCCCCATTCTTATGTTCCTATTCTGTCTCCCCTCTGGTGAAAGCCTGCCATAGGACCCCCAGCCATTCACCTAGAAGTGGGAACCCTGTGGTCACAAGGGAGCAGCCCCTAGCTCCCCGCCCCATCCTCGGTGGGCTGGGCTGTCTTATTGGCCCCTGATGGTCACCTAGATGCCAGAAGGAGTCTGAGAACAGGGTCCTTCCCACAGCCTGAGCAGTAACCTCTGGCAGTCTGAGGACTTCTGTCTGGGAGGAGGACGCTGGTTCTCTTTACCAGAGCACTGTCGTCACACTCTCCTGCCCCTTTCAGACCTCTCACGCTTGTCCCCGCCTGGCTTTCTAGTCTCTTGAATTGTGTCACAAAGAAGAAAGGAAAAGGGGGCTAGCAAGGTGGCTCCACAGGGAAAGCCTGATGAGCTGAGTTTCGTTCCCGGGACCCATGTGGTAGAGAGAGAGAGCTAATTCCCACAAGTTGTCTTCTGCCCTCCCCCACACTTACATATACATATTAATAAGGAAATGTATAAGAAAAATGAGAAAAAGGGAAAGGAAATGGAGCTGTAACTCACGCTGCTCTCTGGACCACGGAGCATGGGGTCAGCAGCCTAGCAGAAGGCGTGCCTTCTCGGTCCCTGACCATACCTCTGTGCTGGCACTTTCCTCCTGCCAGCCAGTCCCAGCAGCTTCCTGGGCCAGCACCCAGCATAGCCCCAACCCATCTCAAGCCTCAAGCACCTGGAGATGAATAGGAGCCTTCCACACCTGCCCTGAGGTCACCAAGGGCTCTCTCTGAGTCAGGGGCCAGCACCGGGCCACACACACTACCTCAGCATCCAGCCTCAGTCACAGCATCGTGTGGTCCCAGATTGTCCATCGAGATGTACTCAGAGCCTGGATGGCCTCTCAGAGGCTGTCTGACACCTCCGTCTGCACTTGGCCCTGAAAACTGCTCTGGGATCCCTTCCTGCATCCCGTGGCATGCTCCCAAGAGCAGGCCAGGCTTCCTTCTCCTCCTGTCTTGTTTAACTCTGACTTGAATATCCCAAGCGGTGAATAGAGTCCAAAGTGGGTATGGCAACAAGTTTGCACTAAGAAAGGGACCGCTTTTTCATGTTCTCATCACAAAGGTATTTGCTTCAAAAGAAACTCAAGAAAATGTGCATGTAATGTTGATGGCCAGGGTGATGAGGATTATGGTGGTCATGAATTGTAACTTAGAGTAGCCTCCTGTACTTGACAGTTAGGCTTTGTTTAAAAAAAAAAAAAAACAATAATAAGCCAGGTGGTGGTGCACACCTTTAATCCTAGCACTTGGGAGGAAGAGGCAGGCGGATCTCTGAGTTCGAGGCCAGGCTGGTCTACAGAGCGAGTCCCAGGACAACTAGGACTGTTACACAGAGAAACCCTGTCTTGAAAAATTAATAATGAAAAAAAAATTTTAAAGACAACAATAATAAACATGGAAACTGGTACCCAGGGGGAAGTGTCATCAGATTTTAAAAGCACTGAAGCCTAAGAACCCTGTCTGTCATGCAGCACCTGCTTCTAGATGGCACCTTAGGGTCCAGCTTCATCATGGAGAGGGCATCTAAAGCCCATGGGCTGAAGAACCTTATGTTGGGAACTATACCAAGTGGCCTTCCATGGGAAGGATAGAAGCCAGGAGTGACACACGCCTATAATCCCAGCACTCAGGAGGCAGAGGCAGGCAGATCTCTGTGAGTTTGAGGCCAGCCTGGTCTACAGAGTGAGTTCCAGGCCAGCCAGGACTATGCAGAGAAAACCTGCTCAAAAAAACAAACAAAAACTAACAAGTAAATAAATTAATAGAAAAGAAAGCACAAACTGTATAGCAAAGCTTGCTTAGTTCAGTCGTCAGTGGCTTTTTCTGTCTATGGGGTCTTTCCATTTTGAACCCACTCAGAACCCAGCTGCTGACTTCCCTCTCCCCTAACCTCGTGTTAACAGTGGCGATACATGGTGGTACTTGCTTTGACCACGTTGTCCCGTCTTTAAATTGTGACAGCCGTAAACAAAGACGGTGGCTGTCGAGGAAGTGCTGAGCATACTTCACAGTGGGTCCCATAGTTCTTGCCCACAGGCCCAAGGCCCCCACCCCCAGCCCGAAGAGCAGTGGTCTCAACCTTCCTAACGCTGCGACCCCTTAATCCGGTTCCTCATGTTGTGGTAACCCCCAACTGTAAAATTACTTCACTGACTTCATTGCTTCTTCATGACTGTGATTTCTCTGCCGTTGTGAATCAGAATGTGATTGTCTGATGTGCGACCCCCAGACGGGTCAAGACCCAGGTTGAGAACTGCCGCCATGGAGATTGCCAGGCATTCACTCCTCGTCAGTACCCAGGCTGCAGACACAGCCCGGGCAGACCTCATTCCTCAATGATGGGGCATTTGTTTCTATATGTGAATAAGGCCTGCCCACAACACACAGTGAACATGGCAGTTTGTGGGTGTTCCGTCACTGAGTGTCTTCTGCCAGGACAGAAAACTATCAAGGAAACCCCACTAAAAAGAGTAATTGAGTTAGATAAGACATTCTGTCTCCAGGCTCGGGACCAGCCTTCCTGGGGCCCCACTTGAGCAGAGTGGCCTGCCGTGTACTCCCTAGCCCTGTCAGTATTGCGTGGAGCACTGAGTGCAGTGGTCACTCCTGTGGTCACCCTTGCCAAGAGCGGGTTCCCAGCTGGTTTGTTCTCGGACGCTTTTCCTGCCATATGAACAACCCCATAAAGACCATAGACTGCCAGGTCTCAAAAACCCCATCCCCAAATCCATCCTGCCAAAGCAAGCCTGTCTCATTGACATCGCTGTGTTTCTTGGCATGGTACTCATAGAACGGCTTTTCGTTTAAATCCTGCAGCTTTAACTATCCGGGGAAGTTCCCAGGAAGACCACGCTCAGGTCAGGCTGAACTGAGTGTGGTAAAGCTGAGTGCTCACCATACAGTGCTCCCACTGAGAACGGGGCATTTGCAATGGGTGCACACAAACGCAACGTGAGTCACTCTCTGAAAAAGTAAAATATTTGAGGGGCCAGAAAGTTGCACCTTACAGAACTGTCCAGATTTGGTAGGAGAGTAGAAAACTTTTGAACTTCCTTGCAATGTTCCTGTCTGATGCCTTGTGGGCCAAATGTATCTGTTCCGTGGAGTGACTGATTTTCTATTGCTTTGCCGGTGTCTGTAGCAAAGTCAGAAGTTGTTTTTTTTTTTGTTTTTTTTTTTTTTATTTGTAACCTTTCTTACAAAGTTACTTTATGGTTTACAAGCAACACTGATGCAGAAGGATGTGGTAACTTTCTTAAATTAAGTAGCAGCACTTTGTTTACGGGGTGTGGATATTGTCGGTAACTGTGGGGTTGGGTCCCTCATCCCCAGGACTCGACCTGTGATCTGGGGAAATATTGCCATTGTGCTGTTCTCTTGTACCAAGGATCAGTGAAAGTGTTTTATCTTTTTTACGTAGTTTGTATTGACTGGGTTTTATAATGGTAAGAAAACAGAACGTTGTATTTTGAGCTTGAAATTTGTGTATGGTCAAGTAGTTCTGTTTTATGTATTGGAAGTTCGTTTACAACTTGAACTATTTTCTAGAAGAGTGCTGAACAAATGAATTGTCTTCGAGCTGTTTCATTAACCTAATAAAATAATTTGATGGGGAAGACATTTGAATCACTTTGTTTTTGCGTGTGTGTGTGTGTGTGTGTGTGTGTGTGTGTACATATGTATGCAGAGGCCAGAGGTCAAACTTAGGTGTCTTTTGTTTTTAAACACTTTCTGCCTTTTTACTTATTTATTTATTTAATTAATTTTGAAAGGCTAAGTTTCACTGGTCTGGAATTCAGCAAGTTGGGTAGGCCGGCTGGCCAGTGTGTCCAGAATCCCTACAAATGCATGCTACTGTACCCAGCAGTTTTGGTTGGTTGGTTTGGGGTTCTTTTTTTTATTTGTTTTTTTGTTTTTCGAGACAGGGTTTCTCTGTAGCTTTGGAGCCTGTCCTGGAACTCCCTTTGTAGACCAGGTTGGCCTGGAACTCACAGAGATCCGCCTGCCTCTGCCTCCAGAGTGCTGGGATTAAAGGCGTGCACCACCACCACCCGGCCCTGGTTTGGGGTTCTTGTTTGTTTTATTTTGTTGTTTTTCGAGACAGGGTTTCTCTGTAGCTTTGGAGCCTGTCCTGGAACTCCCTTTGTAGACCAGGTTGGCCTGGAACTCACAGAGATCCGCCTGCCTCTGCCTCCAGAGTGCTGGGATTAAAGGCGTGCACCACCACCACCCGGCCCTGGTTTGGGGTTCTTGTTTGTTTTATTTTGTTGTTTTTCGAGACAGGGTTTCTGTTAGGATTCAGGCATTATGCTGGCCCCTGTCACCTGGCAGGATGCACTCAGGCAGTACCCTGGCCAGCCCAGGGTCCTATGGCTGCTAGTCACTAGTCACAGTCACGAAGTAGTCTACACGCAGATGCAAAAGGTCCCTTTAAGAGACAAGCCCCACCCATTCCCACTCTTTGTACTGTCTGCCCCTCCCTCTCTCCCGCTCTCCTCTTTCTCTTCTCCTCCTACTTTCCCCTTCTCTCATAAGCTCCTCAACCAAGCTCTATATGGCCTGTTTGTCAATCCCTCACCCACCATGGGCTCTCACCCACGCCAAAGTCCCTCTGCACAGAATCATTACACTGGTGTCGTGACTCAGAGTCCCCACTATTCACACCATTTGGTCAAGGCCAGAAAGCACCCAGATACAGAACATCCTGCTCCAAAGAACAGAAAATATAGATATTTAAAAATACTGTGTATAGTACCTGGAGGATGTAGGTTCTTTTGAATATACCTGATACACTCTTAGAGCGCTTGAAGTGAAAGCCTACGCATGAGGCCTGTGGCGGTAACCCTGCACTAGTAGCTTTAGTGAAGCACGTAAGGTGTTCACAGAAGAGCAGCAGGAAGTGCCTGGGAAGGGCGGAGACTATGTAGTGACCTAGCAGCCATAGGGCCCTGGGCTGGCTTGAGTACTGCCAGGTGAGGGGGCCAGCATAATGCCTGAATCCTAACATTTTCTCTGTGTGGCCTTGGCTGATCTGGAACTTTCTCTGTAGACCAGGCTGGACTATAAATCATAGAGATCTGCCTGCTTCTGCCTCCCAAATGCTGGGCTCAAAGATGTATGCCACCACTGTCCTGCTCGGGCTTGTTTTAATGTCTGTCCTGAGCGTCAAATGCAGATCCTCATCCTTTCAAGGCAAGCCCTTTTTTTAAACTAAGCCTGCTCCATAGTCCCTCATTTTATTTTTTGGAGTGGATTCCATGAGTTGGCATTGTAGACACAGCATGGACCAGTCTTCAAAGGAGGCCTGCCTTTTACCATGGCTCACGGGGGTGGTAGACACTGAGTCCAAAGGATTCATTACATGCTGTCTGACCATAGCCACAGAGAGTTATTCTATAGCAGAGGCATTTAACAACAACAATAAAAAAAAAATCCAAGCCTGAAGCCGGGCAGTGGTGGCACAGACCTTTACTCCAGCACTCGGGAGGCAGAAACAGGCAGATCTCTGTGAGCTCAAGGCCAGCCGATGGTCTGCAGAGAGAGTTCCAAGACAGCCAGGACTACACAGAGAAACCCTGTCTCGAACAAAATAAAACAAAAAATTAACCTCTCACTCTAAGTAGAAGAGGGTCGAGGATGTGGCTGTGTGTGTAGAGTGCTTGTCAAGCACGCATGAAGTCCTGGCTTCAACCCCCAACCCCAGAAAAACTGGGAAATTGAGCTGACGGCTGATAGCCCACACATAAGTTATCCCAACACTTGTGGGTTCAAGCTTGACCCCAGATGTGTAGGGAGTTCAAGGCCAGCCCCAGAATACAAGAGACATTTTCTCATTTTTTTTCCTTTTTTTTTTTTTTTTGAATGGAGGTTGTTTTTTGAGACAGGATTTCTCTGTGTAGCCCTGGCTGTTCTAGAACTCACTCTGTAGACCAGGCTGGCCTCAAACTCCGAGGTCTGCCTGCCTCTGACTCCTGAGTGCTGGGACTAAAGGCGTGCACCATCACTGCCCTGGCTTTCAGTTTTTTGTTTTTTGTTTTTCTTAAATAAAGGGAACAAGCTGATGAGGATGTATCAAAACAGGAACCTTGTGTCTGACTGGTGAGAAATGGCACAGCCACAGCAGGGAAATGGGTGGTTATTGCTCAATTTAACCGTTGCCATGTGGGAACTGCAGGCGGGGTTCCGTGGTTAAGAGCACTTGCTGCTTTTGCAGAGGACCAGAGTCCAGCTCTCAGCACTGGAGTCGGACAGCTCACAACTGCCCATAACTCCAGCTCTAGGAGATCTGCTTCAGCCCTTCTGCCTTTCAAAGACACATGCACGCACACGGAGGCACATGCACACACACATACAGGCACACGTATGCCTGAAGCAGATGCATTAACATATACAAAATTTAAATCTTTTTTTTTTTTTTTTTTGGTTTTTCGAGACAGAGTTTCTCTGTGGCTTTGGAGCCTGTCCTGGAACTAGCTCTGTAGACCAGGCTGGTCAAAATTTAAATCTTTAAGTTAATCACGTTGACCCTCAGCAGTTCCATGCCTCGTGTATGAAGCTAAGAGAAATAAAAGAAGGTAAAAGAAAGAAAACAGCATCATGGTGGCCACCCTGTCATCCCTGCACTAGAGGGGTGGGGGCAGGAGGGACGGGCAGGAGGGGCAGATGTTTAAGGCCAAGCCTGGGCTATATAGGAAAATTCTTATGGAGGGAAAAAAAGCGAGAGAAAGAAAAGAACCTGGGCATGGCGACTGCCACGTAATCTCAGCACTGAGAGGCTGGATCACCACTGAGAGTTCAAGGCTGACCTGGGCTACTTAGTGAGCGCATAAACTGAAGACATGACCTCACCAAGGTATGGTTGGGGGGGCGGAGTTTTTACTGTAGGTGTGAGGAAGGGTACAGCCAGAAGCTTCTGGAAGAGTGCAGAGCAGGGGAAGGAGTAAGTTGAATGGGGCCGGCAGAATGGACTTGGCCGTGAGAGAAGAGGGGGGAGGTGAGGGAGGAAGATAGAGAGGACAGCGGAGACCAAGTGAGAGGGGCCAAGAGAGGAAGACAAAAGAGAGAGTGGAGCTGAAATGGCAGGGTTCTGTGGGAATAAGAAGCCCATGAGCTGGAGAAGTTTAAGGCAGGGGTGTGGGGAAAAGAGGTGAGCAGAGCCACAGGCAGTCCTGATACTGAGGGAGCCTAGGGGGCCAGCATACTTTGGTATGCTGATAGGCGCCAGAGATAGCCAGCTGTTTGTCCCGTTTCCTTTGGACCTGACAGAGAGAGCCTGTCAAAGGGAAGGAGGGAGGAATGCAAATATGCAAGCGTCCTCATGGTAAATTGTGGTGTGTTCGTACAGGCAATGCTGACCCATCACTTGAAAGAGATGCTGAAACGTTATGACATAGCTGGGCGGTGGTGGTGTGTGGCTTTAATCCCAGCACTGGGGAGGCAGAGACAGATAGATCTCTATGCGTTCAAGACCAGCCTGGTCTACAGAGTGAGTTCCAGCCAGTGCATAATAGAGAGACCCTGTCTCAAAACAAACAACAAGCAATAAGAAAACCACTATGTCATGGGTTTAATGGTAAAAGTAAAACGGGGCTGTTCCCTGAATGGCTGCAGCAGGCAGCGGGTCCCAAGACCATGGCGCACCACAAAGGCAGCCGGGTCCCAGGCAGGGAGCTGCATGGTGGGTGAGAGACCAAGACAGATAGGCATGCCATGCAGAGTGAGGTTGGATATTTATTTAGTGGGTTAGGGAAGGGGAGAGGGGGAAGAGCAGAGAGGGAGGGAGGGAGATAAGGAGAGAGAGAGAGAGAGAGAGAGAGAGAGAGAGAGAGAGAGAGAGAGAGAGAGAGAGAGAGAGAGGGGGGGGGGGGGGGGGGGGGGGGGGAGGGGGGGAGGGAGAGGGAGAGAGAGAGAGAGAGAGAGAGAGAGAGAGAGAGAGAGAGAGGAGGGGAGAGGAGCCAGGGCAGCAGCAGCTACCTCTTGGGGAGAAACTCTGCAAAGGAAAGGAAGATCTGCCTGCCTGGGGTGGGGGGGCTGTCTTTTAAAGGGACAGGACAGACCATTACAAGGGGCAAACCCTAACACCACACTCAGGGCAGCTGGGTATGGCAGCATATGTCTATCATTCCAGCACTCAGGAGGAAGGGCCTTGAGTCTGAAGTTTTTCTGGGCTGCGTGGTCAGACTGTCTTAACCAAGCAACAGCTGGGAAAATGGGCTCTTTTCTGAAGCCACACAGCCAGATTCAGCAAGCCAGGCAGTAACCTGTACTCTCAGTATTGAGGAGGCAGAGATGAAAGGCTTCCTGGGGCTTGCTGACCAACCAGTAAAACCTGCTGATTGAGAGCTCCAGGTTCAGTGAGAGACCCTATCTCTAAAAAACAAAGTAGCTGGGCATGTTGACACAGGCCAGTGATCCCAGCACTCTGGAGGCAGAGGCAAGTAGATCTCCCATGAGTTAGAGCCCATCTTGGTCTACCTAGCAAGTTCCAAACCAGTTGTATAGTGAGACCCTGTCTTAAAACAAACACACACACAAACAAAAACAACAAAAAGTGAAAAGTGATTGAGGAGGATACCTGATGTCAACTCCTTATACACAAGTGCACACACACAC